TCTATCAGCAGCATGACAGACAGCTCTGTTCTGAGAAACCTCTGCTCAGGAAGGGGCTGAGGGTTTGCTTTGTGACCCAAAACTTGGTGTGAGGGAGCAGCAAAAAGCACAGCTACAAACACTACTTTAAATGTCATGAAACTACATTTTCTCTCCTGAAAAAGGTGACATGAGCCCTTCCTATGGGAAGGAGATCCACAGAAATTTCCCATCTACACCTACAACACTGCTCACTGAGGCTGGACAGCCAGAGCACAACCTGGCAGGGACCAGCCACCTCCGGCACCGAAACAGTTCCACCGCCCCTCCACTACCTGCCCCTGTGCCCAGGCTGCCCAGTGCCACAGACAACTGTCTGCTCTGTTGGATGTTGACACCCCTGTTACTTGCACAATTCTGTGTTCCCCTTTGAGATACTCCAGAAAAAAAGCAGTGCTGCTTCCATGCAATTGTAGTCCCTTTGACCACAGAAGTGAAGAAAATTTTGCCCAGATCTGGGAAAATGGATCCTGGAAAATGCATCCCAAGCAACCTCCTACAAAACAGCGTCATTTCTCCTGGAGCAGTTGTTTCTTTACATGCAGCTGACCCACAGCAGCTGCTTCAGGATGTTTTGGCACAGATTTGTTTGCATCAGCACAGGGCAGACCTGGCCCTGCAGCCCTCACATCTTCCTCTGCAGCAGCTTCTTGCCAAATCCATTTCTGGGGTGAGGAGGCTGAGGAGCAGTGCTTCCCAGGAGTGGTGCTGGAATGTGAGCAGACATTAATCCACAGATTTCCTGCACAGATGAGTCTGGGTCTCCACACTTGGTTTCCTGCCCAGTCTCTGCAAAGCTGTACCTTCTGCTGTGGTCACACCACTCCAAAGGCTGTGCCCAGTGTCCTCTGATGCTCCAAGCCAAACGGTTTACAATCATTGCCATCTTACTGCACAAACTGACATATCCTCTGCAGGTTTCCTTTGCCACCCTCTCCCTGATCACACAGTGATGTTATCCCATGTCACATACATCACCTTGTGCAATGGGCAGGAGATGCCCCCTCTGTCCGACTGAGGAGCAAGCCACTGGACAAGGTAGGAACCAATGCAAGTTGAGCATGCAGGGACCCATCAATACAGCCTTAAGAGGAAAGTTTAGAAATGCAATATGCTCTGCTGGTATCTTAATGTCACTAGGAATAATAAAATAATTAAGTCTCTCAGACTCGCTTCTCCAAAGAGGCTCTTGGCAGCCTCAAAGACAGAACTAATAAATCCTTCTCATAACTCAATCTCGAACAGCGCTAGGAGAGCAGGAGGGATTTTGATGTCCCTGCCCTCTCCCACACTCACAGGGCCCTGTGAGCATCTGCCTTCCCCTTCTCCAGCAGCTGCTCTGCTGCACTGGTGCCCAGGCACACCGGCTCTGGGGAGGAGCACATGGCACCTGGCTGGGCCTGCAGGCACACTGCTGCCAGAGGTGCCCAAAGGGAGCAGACCCCCTCCAGCCCCAGGCAGTGCAGCTGGTAGAAGAAACATCCTGTTTTTCCCTTTCACCTCTTCCTTCTCCTGAGTGCCAGGCCATAGCACCACTGCTGCTTTTTTTCTCTTTGCTCAGCCCTGCGGAGGTTTGATGCTCTTTTACACACACACCTCCCCCACTCCCTGGGTCAAGTCAGCATCTGTGCTGCTTGTGCTGAGAGCGGCATCCCTGCGGGGCTGGAGGAGGCTTCCTCTATCCTCAGGCAATCCTCAAATCCTAACATTTTGCTTTTGATTGTTACGATTTTCAGATCTTCTATCACCCATTACATGCTCTTAATGAGACCTGCAGAGAGTTCAGACATCTGCTTGCCGAGCCCTTGAGCCCTGGAGTCAGTAGCTCCATGTGTCACTCCAAATTACCTAGCACCCCTTCCAGGTTGCAGGGCTTGGATGCTTTCTACGATCCCTTCCAACATAATTAGCATTTCTTGGAGAACATGATTTCAAGCTTTAATTGCTTTTGATCTTTCTGTAATCAATTTTCTCAGGCCGGAAAGACCCAGCAAAAGGCGAGTCAGGAGACAGGATAGTGAATGTCTCTGGAATGGCACCAGCTGGACCTGAGTGTGGTCAGCTTCTCTAATTCATCTCTTCCTTTAGTCACTCCATTTGCTGAGCATCTTCCTTCTGGATTGTGGCTGTTGTTACCACAGGTGACATTTATTCCTTGTCTGATGAATCAGGTAGTGTGTGAGCACTTCCTTGGACAGACCAAAAACACAGAAAGTGACACCAGTAGGCAATGGTGCTGTTTCCAAAACCCTGACTCCTGCAAACCAGCTGTAACTCAGCTACATGGTCACCTGCAGGGACACCCTTGGCTCCAACCTGGAGCACCAGAGCCAGAGGAGCCCTGTGTGCCACTGGGGCTGAGTGTGGGCCTGTGGGTGTGAACTACAGGCACTGCACAGGGGCCATCCCTGCTCTGCGCAGCGCTGGCAGCAGCAGGGCCTAACCCAGCAGGGTCTGGGCAGGCAGTGGTGCTGTGACTGTGCCAGGGCAGCACCAGGCTGCAGCACACCTGCCCTGTCACTGCAGCCATAAGCTTGCTTACGAGCAGGTACTCCACAAGCTCATCATCTAATGGGTGAGCTACCTCATCAAGTGCCCTGGGCTTTCCCTAAAACACTCGCAGGTCCCTCCATGCTGCCCATGAGGAGCCCTGGAAGAGCCTGGAAGTGCTCAGCATCCCCTCTGGCCCTACCATGCCTGGCTCTGCTCACACCTGCATGACAGGGCTCTGCACTCGAACCTTTACCTGTCTGTCACTTGTTCTACTTCTCCAGCTGCCCATGGGGTCAGTTTTGCCAGTGAGGTTGCTGCCTGAGCAGACCCTGCACCCCGAGGGACCCCTGACACTGCTCCAGCAGCTCGCAGCCCCCCACACTCCCTGCAAGCAGCCCCATCACAGATGGGCCCTCCTGTCCTGCCTGACCAACTCCAACAGGAGCACTCACAATTGGGTGCTGGTCCCTGTCATGCTGAGGACAAGTCACCCCCTGAGGTGTCTTTCTGCTGCTTTGAAGGAGTCTAGGGAAGTAGGTGCAAAGCAAAAGAGAGGATTTAAGCAAGAGCTTAGTGAATCCATCTGTGCTGACATCCATCAGTGTCACTCCTTGGCTGCAAAAGCAATATTTATAAATCACGTTTCAAAACTGGCTACAAATTTGTACAAAGAAACAGATGGGCTGGTGGTAGCAGTTTGTCACCACTGATATTTATACGGGGGAGTAGAGACAAGTGCAAGAGGGGTGAACACACGAGAGGGAAGCAACGGGGCAACACAAGGGAGGGTACAGCAAGAGGACACATGAGAGCAGAGGTGAAAGTGAGCATAGCTAGGGTGCTTGATGGACTGGAGGAGGGGGCAGTAATCAAAGGGAGGGAGATGGCACCAAGACACATGCCTGTTAGAAATGAGGGGTGCCTCCATCTGCACAGGCAGCCACCTCCGCTTGCTGTGGAAGACAGCACTGCTCAGCAATTGGGAGGGTCTGAAAACACTCTGGGAATAACCCTGCAGCAACAACATTTGTTTTCCCAAGAGCAGGAGGCGGGAGGTGATGCCAGCTTTTACTCATTTTATGCAGTGTTACACCACACACAAAGCTCGAGGGATCGTTTAGCACAAAGAATTACCCTGTGCCACAAGAGCCTCATCCCACTCCAGAGAGCAGCAGCTCCCGAGGAGATGGTAGCACATGAGCCTGTGTCCTTCATCTACTGCAATGCCAGCTCTTGGGCCACTGCTGGTGAACCCCAGTGGCCCACACAGGGGTTGACTCTCTCACAAAGCTGGAGACCCAAGTAGCCCTTTCTAAATTCCAGCCACATGCCCTGCAGATGACCAGCAGAGCAGCAGTGGTGGCTCTGGGATAGCAACTTGGCCATGGCAGACACGCTGGCCCAGAGCTGGGAACACAGCCCTGGGCTCCTTGGAGCCTCATGAAGGTCCAGGACACCCAGATATAGCTCAGTGTGCTCAAGAACATTTTCATAAGGTCCTTCAGAGAAAGTGAGGGAAGTTAATCGCTGGGTGTGGGGCAAAATCTTGCTGAGGATTAAATCCTGCTTACATGATAAGAAGCAAAAGGTCTTGTGAACAGCTGCCCCCGAGCACAGGGGGATGAACTCGGGTCAGGGACAGCTGTGCTTCTCAGGACACAAAGCAATATCAGCCTTTCTGCCATCAAGTCTGAAGATTTTCCATTCTGACTATCCCTAATAATGCTGAACCAAACTGAGCAAGCAGGAGGCTGAAGGACGTGCTGAAGCACGTCAGCAGAAGGCTCCTCTGATAAGCTCAGAACAAACTAAACCAGACTTTTGACAGATGAAGCTGCAAAAGCAGAGAAAGAAAATGGTTTTAAAAGAAAACCCAACCAAAACCAAAGGAGCATTTCAATGTGTTCTGCTGGCTTCCATCAGGGCTGGCCTCTGTGACAAGTGCATACACATCTGGCAGGAGAAGGTCTCAGTATCTGCAGGGGGTCCTGGTATACCTACTGCTGCAATCAGCACCCAAATTCACCCTAAACACCCGTCAAAAATAGAAAGCAGACTGGAAAGTACCTTTCTGAATTGTTATCCACACAAATGCAGCCTGATCTCACAGCCTGCAAAGCCCAACAGCAGCCAGGGCTCAGCCAACAAAACCAGTGTCACACCCCATAGCATTGAGTCACAAAGGAGCTGGTCAACCCAGGGATGCAGAGAACCCCAGACCTGTCCAGAGGATCAGACAGGTCCTGTCTGCCTGCATGTCCCAAAGGACAGGATGAGCCTCAGGAAATGCAGAGGAACTGTGCCCTGGAGCTGCCACCTCACAGGGAATCAGGCTCTGTGGGCTGTGTCCCAAAGAACCTGCCACAGCCCTGGGCTGGCTGCAGCATGGCCCCACTGCAGCCTGGGGCCCTGGAGCTGTCCCTGTTTGTCAGGGGCACAGGGCTGCCCACCCAGATGGCAGCCCCAGGATGACCCCGTGCTCCAGGATACCTTGGAGAGGGATAAATCATAATGCTCAAAACGTGAGTGTGCTCATCTATAAATCCACATCATCTCCTTGCCTCCAGGCAGGTTGGAGATTTCGCATCAAGAAAGAGACCGAGAGCCCTGAAAATACCAAAGGCTTAACCAGACAGCACAAGAGGAGCTTTGGAGTTGCTTGCAGCAGGGAATAAAGCTGGCAGAGCCTCCTTGAGGAAATCCAAGCTGCTAGCTGACCAGTCCCACCATTACAGGTTGGCAGGAAGCCCTGCGGCGTGCCCAAAGCACCCAGAGCTCCATCCAGCACAGACAGACTGTAAACCCATGGCCTGTCTCCCTCCCCACGGCCAGCAGTGCTACTCAGCCCGAGGGCTGCTGGGACAAGGGTACAGCAGGACTTACCCTGGATATCCAGCAAAGAAAAGTGGTGGTTGTTGGAGGCTTCAGGTGCCAGCGTGAAGTAGAAACGATGACCAGTCTGAGGCTCGTCGCGGTCCACCACGCTTATTGTCTGGATCAGCTGTGGGGAGAAGGCAGAACTGAGCACCAGTGCTGCTTCTGCAGCTTCTCTCAGGGCCCCATGCACAGGGTCTGGTCAGTGGCTGCAGCCGCAGTGAGGGATGAGCCTCTGCAGACAGGCTCAGCTGTGGGACACCAGCAGTGATTCCCAGTGTGAATCTTTCTGTGACTGCACAGAAAGATACTCAGGCAGAAGGGGGATGGACAGGCAGGCTGGCACTGGTCCAAAGCACTGCCTGCACCATGAGACCAGGGCTGGGGGACACCCACTACCTGGCCTGGCTTGGCATCCTCACACACAGCAGCTTCATACGGGGTGGCGAGCTCAGGCGGATTGTCATTGACATCCAGGATACGGATACGGAGAGAGGCCCTCGACACCTGTGAGTGATTATCTGAAACAGAAAGAGAAGCAGAGCTTCAGCACAAATTGCAAATTGCTGTTACCAGAGAGCAAACCCCCTCAGCCCTGTCTGTCCAGAGCCCACTGTGACTGCTGCCTGTGCCAAGGGTCACACAGCACAGCACCTCTGCCTGCCTGTGGCACAGACTGACTCCAGGCCAGCAGTGCCCATGGAGCATTGCTCAGACTCACTGCACTCATAAAGAATCCCAACTGCTGGGCTGCATGCCAAGGACTCCCGAAACACCACCATTGGCCTGACCTACCCCTGGAAAACCTGAGCAGCCTGAAGCAAGTCCCAGCGTTGGGGTCAGTCACCACTGATAAGGATCTGTGCTGCAGCCAAACAGCACCAAGATGAAAGAGAAAATTTGGAGGTGACATCACCCGCTGACCTGAATCTTGACCCTTAGGCCTTGGCACAAGACTTTAGGGACCCAGGCCTCTTGCACTGACACCATTTTTTGTATTGCCATCTGCAGCTTAAACTTGAACCCGACACTGTCCACCAGCTGGCATGAGGGGGGCATGCAGTAACACCAAGGACAGCCCTTCCCCTGCTCTCACCAGCCCAGCCTCACACAGGGAGCAGCCCTGGGGGCTCACAGCCTGCTCCCCTCCCTCGGGGTGCAGGGAGCTGCTGGCTGGGATGAGTTCACTCTGCAAGACAGGGACAATGTTTGCACCTTCACTCACTGCAGCATCACTGCCCTGTGTACACACTGTCGAGGGACACTGAGCCTGTACCATCGGATTATAAATCACTCTGGAGGGCCTGATGTTTGCTGAAGCACTTCATACACCTCCAGAAATGAGAACTCCCTCTTACTCCATCTCCTTTGTTTTACCCAGAGGCTGCACCTGTGACAGAACTGATGCCTCTCTCCACACTCGGGCAGAAGTTCTGCTGCCTGTTTGTCTATAACGTTAATGCTGCCCCACAGATCAGGTGGGGGAGGACCCAGAGGAGAGGAGATACAGTGCTGCTCCATAATTAGCCGTGAATCTAAGCCCCCTCCCCAGAGCTGCCTTCACCCGGTTCTCACGTTATCACTCCCTCTCACCCAGACCAGCTGCTCTGGTGATTAGATGGTTGTTTTTGGGGGAAGGAGGCAGAAGTCGTGACTAAAAGCCTGGAACTATGTGTTATTTTAAAAGGCATGTTGGTGCAGTGAAATAAACTGCAATTGCTTTCAGGAAGAGAGAAAGGGGGAGGCAGAGGGGTGAGAAGGGAGCCCGGGGAGGCGGAGGGGTGTGTGCCTGATGGCCACAAATGAGCAGGAGGAAAAAGGGTTCAATTCCTGCAAGGAGGAGGACAACAGCACCTCATCACCCCCTTCTCAGCCTGCAGGAAGATGGATAACTGTCCCTGCTGCTCAGCTCTGGAGCAAGCTGGCACTGCCAAGAGAAAGATGAGGAAAGGCAGAAACAGAAGGGAGGAAGAAGAGCCTGAAGGGAGGAGGAGACCAGGATCCCACCTCTTCCCCTTCCCAACTGTAACCCAGAGGATGGGTTCCTTCTTCAGTGCCCCACAGTGTCCGAGCTGGCTATGAGCAGGAGCCAATCCCAGTGCTGCCAAACCCTCCCCAGGACCTGTTGGGATGGAGCATGCCACAGAGGCTCTGAGGGGCGAGGTCTGGACACCCAAGCAAGTCTGATCTTCCCTTCAAGACCACCTGCTACAGCCCCCTCAGGAGGGATGTGATAGAGTGTTTAGAGTCGGGCAGAACCACAGTTCTGTCCTCTTCCACAGCTCCAGCCACAGCTGCCAGGAGCACTTTGTGCCACACACATGAGCAGGGTCACCCACACACTGCAGCAGGTCACCCACATGCCTCAGCAGAGCCAAGCACCTGCACTGACCCCCTGCCTGAGCCATGGCTGACATCCTGCTCCCCTGGGCACAGCTCAGAGCACAGTGACCTTTCTAAATGCACCCTGTCATACAAAAGCTCTCCTTTTGCCCCTTCCAAAACTGCTGAAGCCTGAGGCTCACACTCACTCCTGGCTCAGTGACAGGGTTAAAATTTGACGTCTCTAGGGAACATCAAGGTTAGAAACGCAACTACTGCACCCTTGTCTCCCTTTCCAGTGAGGCTCACATCAGCTTCTTTTTATTTTGGCTGTACAACATATATTTGAAGGTTCCTCAAACGCTTTATCAACCTCTCTCTTCCTTTGAGCCAGTACCTAGATTTATGAGTGGAAAATATGAAAAATGCTTGGATGTATTTGAAAATAGTTATCTTCAAAACATCTGAAATATGTTTTCTGTAACTGTGTGGCATAAACTGAATTTATGATGGTTAGAAGTGTGATTAAGATTGTTGGAGCACATCTGTGATGAAAGGCACAAAGCACTTGACTAACACAGGCTTCACATCTGCAAGGCCAGAAACTCTGACCTGTGCTTTCTCTGTCTATGTGCACAGACCCGACACAAGCTCCAGCACACAAGCAAAGGCTCAGCAGGCAGGTCCCAGCAGCAGGAAGAGCAGCAGAGGGGGTGGAGGAGGCTGAGCCAGGTGGCACAGGAATGTGGCCTTACAGGGCTCTGTGAGCAGCATCTGGCTCATGGTTGGGCTGAGGGCAGCACGTGCTGGCTGAGGGTGACTGGGAAGGAAAAAAGCCACCTTCCATTGCAACGTCTCTCCTCGGTATTCCAGCTCAGCTGACTGACATGCAAATTAGTTTAATTATTTCTTCTTCTAAAATAAATTATATTTTGCAGTGGCTGCAATATGTTGTGTCAGGCGAAATTACATTCAATATTTTTAAACTAATTGATGTCAGCCTTGAGAAAACCTGATTGACAGCAGCGAGGAAACTAGGCTGCTACCTAAACGCTTTCCTAAATTAAAATTAAACATGCCGTTTTTCTGCATTTCCTTCAGGAGTTGGAATGCTATTAATCTGAAAAGACTGAGGAAAGAGACATGGAAAATACACAGAACAAGAGGGAGATGCTGGAAGCACAGCCATGCAGTATGGGAGCTCCAGGCTGGTGACTGGCAGCTGCCTTTGCCAACATGGGAGGAATTATTTCAGAGCCATTGGAGCCGACAAAGGTGGGGAACAGAGTTCTGCCCAGTGCTTCCACATCTGTGGCTGCCTTAACACAACCACCAGTGCAACTCAGGATGCACATTGAGTGCCAGTCAGACCCAACCATGCCCAGGTGCTGCATGGCAGGACAGGCAGCACAGGGACAGGACAAGCAGTGCCAAGACTCTGGAGCAGGAGATGGTCATGGTCCTGCTGCACAGCAACACTCAGGTCAAGGTCCAGCCTGTACTGCTCCAGACCTTCAAACAAACTCACAATAAAGCACTTTGTGTTTTTACACCCAAACTTCTCCTGTGGAGCTCCAAATCCAGCCATTGCTGAAGCACACATGCCATCTGCCCTCCTTCCTGCACACACAGCTGTGCAGGGTATCACACACCTTGACAGCTTCCCTGGGGTCTGAGGAGAACCCAGAGGACCGTGGGTTGTCATGTGCAGCTGCAGCTCTTGGGGCAGCCCAGCTCATAGACACTGCTGGGCAAAGTGTATAACCTGCTCTTCTGTGTCGAGACTAAATTGGTACAATACTGAATTCAACATTTTTGCATTAGTAAGGAAGCCAGAAGAGGCAGGAGTGGAATTTATTTCTCGCTATCTCAGCAAATTGGGAGAGCAAAATGCAGAACAGAAGACTGGGATGGGTCACTCTGCTCTCCAGACCCAAATGCCACGGCTGTGGAGCACAGGGTGGGTATGCAGATGTCAGTGCAGCTCGTGCCTGCAAAGCAGAGTGCTGATGGCAAGGAGAGAGCAGGGGCATGCCAGGGGTATGGCTCGCCTGACAGGCGGCTACATCGGAGCCTGGAGCTGAGAACGTGGCTCCCAGCTGAGGGGAGGCAAAGTGAAAGCAGCAGTTAAGCCAAGTAACATATAAATGGCTCTCACCTCTCCTGAGTCCTGCCCAAACTCAGCAGCATGAGAGTCATTAAATCGCATCCAAACACAATGCTCTGATTAAAGCCAGTCTCCAGCAGGAAGATTTATCATCTCAATTACCAGCAGTGGACACAGCAGTCAAGGCCTCATCATTTTACATGAGCAAAGAGGAAAACAGGAAGAGAATCACTAATATTAGCCCAAGGAAGGTAAACAGCTTGTGAGCAAGATGAAGATTTATCTGTGGAAACGCTTGGCCTGGTCCCAGGCCAGATTAGCTGAACAGCCCCCAATGCTTCCTGCCTGCTGCCATGCTGCGAGGCCAAACACTCTGCTGATCCCTGGCTGGCCAAGGCAGCTCACAGTGGGGCTGCCTGGTCAGGGGGGCAGAGTTGTCCCCTACTCCTCCTGCCACCAATGGGCAGCCCAGCTGGCTCATGGGCACAGCCAGGCACCTTCTGCAGCTTTTCTTACCACTCTCAGAGGCAAATATACTCCGTGTTGTCTGCAGATGGGACATGTGCCCCTGGACACAGTCTCTGTTGCAGCAGGTCTCTCCAGGGTGGGGGCACAGCTCCTGTATGGAGGTCCTCGAGCCCCACAGGCTGCCTGCAGGAACAAGTGCTGCCAGCTGTCCCTCAGACACTGGCAGTCAAAGCCTGCTCAGGACAGCCCTGCCAGCAGAGCAGGAGGGCAGCTAGAGGAGGCCACAGAGACACAACATATTGCTGCAACATGCTCCAGGCCGTGTGTTTGGCACAGCAGGAGTCAAGCAGGCCTGGCACCATGGGAATTGAGTGGGCACAGCTTCTCACCAGCCCCAACAAGCTGGAGCACCAGGCACAAGCCTGGGCAGCAGGACACCCAGTGGGCTCATTCCATTCCTCCTGCCAAGTTTACATCTCACTGACAAAAGGGAGTATTTTACCATTTGCCCCTGCTGGAGTTGGTAATGCCTGACCTGGCTCTGCAGTGCACCCTGCAGCACCCAGCTGCACCCTACATGCCCACGGGGAGTGCCACAGCACCCTGCCAGCTCCCCTGGACACCTGTGTGCCAGGAACTGCACTGCTGGACATGCTGATGCCATTGTGGAGACTCCCAGCCACCTTGGGTTCCACACTGCCATTGCTGTGGCTGATCCCACTGCGCCAGGCACAGCCTGACAGCTGCTGTACAGTCCTGCTCCGAAACCCCTCCATCACTCAGAAGGCTGTACCTTTACAACTGCCCTTTCCGCCAGAGGATTCAGACATAAATTGTACTTTAAATTCAATATCAGTCATTAATATTTCATGATTACAAAACGTTAAGGATAATGTCACTAGGAGGAATGTCTGGGCAGTTAAAACGGATGAGTCAGAGCTCACCACGGGAGAAGTCAGAGCACTGAAGAGTCTCCCTGGCTTTTGAAGCAATCCAGCCTGACAGGCTTCCCTGCCGGAGGGGAGCCACAGCATTTACTGACTTGTTCTGAAATCCTAGCCACTGCGTGTAAATATTGTCCTTCTGATTCTTGTCACCTCACGTTTCCTCTGGATGCCGAGTTGTGTTGCAATGCCGCCCATCTCCTCCTCCCTGCAGAACTTCCTCATGGAGCCCCCAGGACAGGCCATGGCTTGGGAGCAGGCTGCCATCCTTCCAACCTGGCCAGGCAGTGCCGACACGCCTGCCCATTGCCATGCCAGGCAGGACTCACAACAGTGCACAGCCAGAGAGTGCAGAGGTCACCCCAGTCAGCCAGCATAGAGCATCACCACAGAGAGGGGCTGGGATGCACGGCAGAGCCAAAGACATCCCCCTGGGGCAGTGAGGGTCTGGCCAGGTCTGCT